ATAATGATGAAAAACCACAAACATGACAGGTATAATTAAAATACACACTATCAGCGCAATATTTTTACAGATTTTTTATACCGTATACAATATAATTATGTTTAATTAAGCTGATATATAGCACTATAAATTCTTAATTCATTCAAACGGCTGAAGACATTATAGTACTATATCTCAGCTCGTCCCTCAACATGCACGCGTTCAGAGATTCGGCAACCCAACACTGAATATTATTTTGTGGGCGTTGTATTTTGATTAATAAAATAAAAATTATAAAAATTACAATACAAAAATGAAATTTAAATTATCGATAAGATATTTTTTACATATCGCCCAGCCCTAAAGTACAGCATATAAAAGTCTGATCAGTGTCTGTCATTTTCCTTCCCTGAAGTTCCACATCTCTCTCCTTTACTGACACAAACTGATGGGAGTTTTATGTATGAAAGGCTACTCACTGTGTGCCTCGATCTCCTTCTGTCTGCGGAGTAGCTCTTCCTCATGTCTTCTAGCAAACTCCTCTTCGTCCTCCTCTTCTGATGAAGAGTTCCAGTCCTCTGTCAGCTGACTGCCCATCTGGCGAGACCAGTACTCTTGATGCAACCAGTCCAGCACAAATCCACAACCTGAAGAACACAAACAAACACAGACACAATGCACAGATTTAAACACTACAATACCATATGCAGCAAACAGAGAAGTCGGTTTACACGCGTGACTGTAAGGGAAGAGCCGTCTCTCACCTTTTCTGCACCACTTTAGTGACGGGAGTCTGCGATGTGTCAGATCATGCCTGAGGTTTACCACCCACTCTGGAATATTTATCTGTCAGAGAGACAAACTGTAGTCAGACTGCAGTTATAGCAGATGATGAAAGACATTCATCTGAGTTGATGTGTGACTTACATTCCCAGCTAACCTTCGTAAGGGTCTGGCAACTCTTTTCTGTTGCCGTTCTGTGATGAGATTAACAAACCTGAAACACAGTCATACTTGTTACTCCAGTAAAGTCAAATTCGATCTGATTTGTATTAGTCAAGTGCACTTGATGGATGATAAACATACCGAACCAGCGCCATGCCATACAGCAGCACTAGATCATTGGCCTCCAGCTGACCTGTGCTGTCCAGCACCTGACAACGGACCAGGTCCGCTGTGCTGTCCACAGCCACTGGAGTGCTTTGTCCAAACCTGTGGCAACAGACAGCATATCAGAGACAATGTTCCAGACCTGTCCTAATAAACTAGTTCAGACATTTTCAAAATGGGGTGCAGGATCTCCAGTGGGCCACAAGACAGAGCTAGGGACTTTGGAGAAAAACAGTGTAAAATAGAATAAAAAATAAATAAATGTAAACAACTAAATAAATAAATAATTGGAATAAAATAAATACAAATGTATTAAAATTAATTAATACATTTGCAATAAATAATTCAAATAAATTAATAGATTTAAAAGTACTAGGGTGATCAGAAAAATAATTAATGTAACATTAGAAACTAAATCTTTTCTTAGTAATACTTTATGCATATTTAAAATACTAATTGTTCAAAGTATATATCAAGGCTTTATACACAATAATAAATAATAAGTTGCCTTGTGCATTTTTAGGAGGGGGTCCCTTGCACCAGTATGGCCATTTTTTTTTGCATATAAAATTTTGAAAACCCATGAACTAGCTAGTTTAACCTGTCCCATGTCAGCGTAGATTAAATGTAAGCATCAATCTCACGAAACTTGCCCAAAACCAAACTAATAGCAAAATATGACATTTTGCATAAAGGCAGTGTAATCTACTGTTAGGACCCTCCAAATTGCTTGTATTTTGACATTATTTCTAGGATAGTTTAAGCATATTTATTTCCTGTGTTGGGCAGATTACTTGCAAATTGTAGTTCGTTACCGATTCCAAGTTACATGATAAAAAAAAATTTAATTAGTAACATAGTTTATTAGATGAGAAATGGGTAGGTGAGGGTAGAGAGGAGGATACAACGGAGGATAAATATATATATTTAGATCACCTAAAATGTGTGAAACATGTCATGGGTTTTTCCAAACAGGGTTCATATGTTAATAATTAAATAAAAAAAATGAAAAATGTATAAGACCGAAAAGAAAACAATACACGAGATGAAACATCAGTTGTCACGTGACCCACCAAACGGCGATCACAACATCTCCAACAACTGTGTATAAGACATCAGGGGCCTGTACCATGAAGCCTGATTAGCTGGCTAGCCAGGTAAGTTTCAGTTTAGTTTGCATCAATCCTGGGTTGTAGGTACCATGAAAGTGGCTTGGCTTTTAGCGGCGTTCATTGCCTTAGTAACTTACACTCCACAGCTAACCTGCTCCTTGGGCAGGTTATGTTCTGAGTTAGAGATCTCAAACTGAAATTGGACCAATCAGATGTGAGCAAAGTGACACATGTCTGACACAAAAAAGTCACTCCCCCCAGTTTCTGTTCCTACAAATTAAAGGTCACTATAAAGTACCTTAAAAAAATACAACAAAATTGTCTGGCTTTAATGATAATTACGATTTATATATGACTTATATAATTATAATATGATTTATGTTACTATTAATCCATTACACACAAGCAATTTTAGTTTAACAATTATTATAAAGCATTTATTTTAAATGAATATTAATATATACAGATCATATCTAATATACATAAGTGGTAGAATCAATAGATAACGCTTTAAAAATCTCTATGTATATAACTTCACAAGTTTCACTTGTGACTGCACTAATAAAACAAGGTAATTTCTTTTATTTGTCCTCTTTCATGAACAAGTACTTCAGTGCAAATGCATTTATATTCCTCATATTCTTTGATCTCTTAACCTTTAAAAAAAAAGAATCACACTGAATCAGACTTGCTCTGTGTTGCAAGGATCGTGATTGGCTATTGGCCACTGATGTCACACATTCATGTGCATGCTCTCCACCAACTCAGGATCAAAAAAGCCTGAGTTGACAAAGAAAGTTGATAATCAGCATCATGGTACCAACAAAACCGGATTGGAGTGGTTTGGTTTTGTCAACTCAACACTAATCCTGTAACTCTGAATTTGTCCATCTACCATCATGGTACAGGCCCCTGATCACTGTCACAGCAGATCCACCCCTGACCACCATACCTGCCCTTCCACGCAGAGATCCTGTGCAGCGCGTGTTTCTGCAGCGCGGGCTCTTTGGAGAACAAATACTCCAGCACATGCTCGTACTCCGCTTTGTTCATCCAGGCCACGACGTGACGCGTCTTCCCCATCGCTTTCTTCTTCATCTTCAGATCGTAGACTTTATGCTTGCGAACGATGTTGTATGTGGAGTCGCAGCAGGGAAACAAGTCTATGCAGTCAGATTCGAAAACAAAACAAACCATACGATTCACGTCAATCTTATTTCCGAACACATCACGGTCCTCAGCGGTGCGGCGGGTTAAACGCTCCCCTTGCACAAGTGATGAACAATGGTTCCGTACGTACCTACAGTACACTTTCAGCAATAGAAGAGAATGTTTAAAATACAGCTTGCAACAATAACGTTAACTGCATTCAAATTATTGTTCTAGGTGTAGTCTACGGCAGTAAAGAGCAGTTTCCTCAAACTCTCGGTCAATTAAAATGATTCAGCATGGTATTTGTACAAAGCTCATGTGCACGATCAGCCATTTTTCCAGATGGGTAAATTTCAGTCAAAGCAGTGACATTAAACCCGTCCCGTCTTGATATCACACAGTGAAATTAAGAGATTAATTTGAACTCTTTAGAAAACACCCCATTAACATTCAGCAATACCAAAAAGTAACATGCTTCTGCATTTGGATCTGGTACCCCATGGTACTTAAATATGACCATCATTTAGTACCATCGTACATTATATCAAAGTACCAAGGTATTACATATTAATCAGTGACTGTACCAACCACAGTAATTTTTGTATGAGAATCCAGTAGATTGTATGATCCTCCAGTGAGCATCTATAAGAGATAATATTCACAATTTGCCATATTTCGATGTCTTTCTATACATTTAAAAAATGAACTTATAGCAATTAGGTCACTGTGCTTTTGAAGAGGATCCTGTTTAACAAAATGACATTACAAAATCGTCTAGTAGGCTCACATTATTAATCAAAGGACATTTGAAAATGACAAAAGTATAGTTATAATAATTTTTAGCCTAGTCTAATTCTAAAGTCCAAATCTAATAGTAATATGTGACCCTGGACCACAAAACCAGTCTTAAGTAGCATGGGTATATTTGTAGCAATAGCCAACAATACATTGTATGGTCAAAATTATAATTGTTTTTAGGATATTAAGTAAAGATCATGTTCCATGAAGATATTTAGTAAATTTCCTACCAGAAATATATCAAAACTCATTTTTTGATTAGTAGTATGCATTGCTACGGACTTAATTTGAACAACTTTAAAGGTGATTTTCTCAATATTTTGAATTTATTGCACCCTCAGATTCCAGATTTTAAAATAGTTGTATCTCGGCCAAATATTGTCCTATCCTAACAAACCATCAATGGATTATTCAGCTTTCAGATGATGTATAAATCTCAGTTTTAAGAAAAAATGGACCCTTATGACTGGTTTTGTGGTCCAGGGTCACATATCACATGTTCTAAAAGATGCTGACAATGTTTATCAGTAGGCCTATTTTATAGGGATATATAAGAGTGTTTGTTGTACAGGAAGAGTTTTCAGTCTTGGGTCTCTCCTATATGTTATTTAGTTTGAATATAAGTTATTTCTTTCAAATGTCATTTTGTCAACTTTGAGACAAGTTGCATAGCACGATTAAGTTTTTGTCCATATAAAGTCTCGCTGTGTTCCTCAAGTGAAACGCATTTCCCGTACCAAACTCTGCCATTCGAGTTTGGAATTTCTGGGGAAAATGACGTCACTGTTGGAATTGTGTGGGATACCCCCACCTCGAGTTCCCAGAGCGCGCGTTGGAGCGCCGGCGTCCGCGGCACACAAAGCAGCAGCAGCAGCGAATAACGGGGTCTGTGAGAATCCGGGCGGAGTTTAGTCAGACGCGCTTTGGTGTGCTTGCATCGGCTGGGCTGGGTGTGGTTTTCAAAACTCAGTTCCGTTAGCAGGAAACGACTCTAGGACCACCAGTACTTCATCTGAGCGACAAAGACGCAGCGAAAAGTGAATCTTTGTCTTCGGGACCTGGAAGAGATTTGAGGAGAAGCTTTGGCGGTGGCGGTTGCTCACTCTTGCGCGGGGACGTCAGCCGATGGGAAAAAGTTTGGCTTTCTGTTGACTTCATTGTATCAGCTCAGTTTGTGACACGTCCGCGAGAGAAGAGACAAAACACAGACAAAATGCCGAAAACGGTGAGTACCCTTGAGAAATGGAAACGGTTGGGTTGAGTTTGTGCTGTATCAAACAAAGACGGGAAGAGGTTTCACTGTGCTTTCGAAAGCTGCGCATTTTTGGTGAAACAGGAGACAGTAGCGACGCGTAGGCGGTCGAAAGGGGCGAGGATGGGCTTTCTCTTGTTGGCATTTTTGCCAGCTAATTCCCGCGGGTGAGCAGTAGGCCATGCGCAGTGCACTATTTACGGCAAGAATCAATTATTTGGACAATGACGGTCGTTCATTCCATCCGAATGCACTGAAGAATAACTTGTTGCGTTGGAAATTAAAAGGCCGACTTCTGTACTTTATTAGTTTCTCTACTTTTCTGTACTCATACCTTCGCAGTATGTTGTACTCTATAAGCAATTGTTTAGACATTACATGAACTTAGCATGATTTCCCCCCCCCCTAAACCATTTTTACTCATTTATTTCTCTCTGGCAGTGGCGTTTGGTGTTGTATGGGGCTGAACCGTTACTCGGTGGCAACCTGTAACCCCCCTCTCTCTCACGTTCACGGAATTCGTTCACTGATATCATTACGCCAGTAGGTGGCAACAAAAACGTCTTTTTGTGTTATGAGTGAGTTATTAAATCTCAACTCAACCAATTTAATAGAAACACTAGTTGTATTATTCTACACATTTACTAAAAATGTCAGTTAATAACGTTTAAATGCCGCCCCCCCCCTCCCCCCAAATGATAACTAATCAAGTCTGTTATTTTTCTCTCCATTTTGTACACATTATTTTAATTCTATATCGGTCGTTTTTAAAAATGTGATTATTTAGTTCCGGTGTCCTGACATTTTATCCTACCCGTCAGATTGTCCTACCAGGTTTTACTGCGCATGCGCACATCAATATTTGTCCTTTTTCTCACTCTGAACAACAATATTTAATGTATCTGCATTACTGTAAGGGTAGGTTTAGGGTTGGGGTAGGTGTAGACTTTAATAAAACACAATCTAATAGGTAGAAAAAATTATTTATTGTTGGTTTCCTGTAGCTGTATCCCTTCTAGCCACAACCGCGAATATAACACAATTACTGTATTTGCATTACTGTAAGGATAGGTTTAGGGTTGGGGTAGGTGTAGATGTTAATAAACCATCATTTTACAGGTAGCATTTTTTGTTGTTGAATTGTACTACCCACTGTTATAATGGGAGGTAGCACAAATCGACAGAACACTGGTACTACTTTTTATGAACGATAACGAACAGCCTTGTCAGCAGATCTGCGTTGACAAATGAGATGCTTCGTTCAAATTCAAAGCAACTACTCGTTCAATAAAAAAAAAATAAAAAAAATGAACAAAAATTTTTTAATTAATGTCTTAAGTCATTTGTGATTTCACTGACATTTGACATCTTTTGTCAGCTTTGTTAAAAATGGGAAAAAAATAGGCATGGCATGAATGTTCACTCATTTGAACATTCATTCAAAGCGATTCACGGCTGCATCCGAAAACTCTAAAATGCTGCCTTCGGAGGCAGCACTCCAAGGCAGGAAGGCATCAAGGCACGTCCGAATCCAAATTCTGCTTTACTTCCTGTCTCCGGAGGAACCTTCTTCTGATCTAATTTTGAAGGCAGCATAGATGTATCCTTCGCTGCCTTTGATATCCCACAATCCTGTTTGTTCCATTCCGTGACGGTTGAGCTAAAAAATAAAGATGGCATCTGAAAGTTGCGTTTGGTGGTCAGTTTGTCTGTAAATGTATATTTCTGACTAACTTTTTGCACTTTTGATGTTATTTCTAGCGAGAAATCAGTATTATAATAATTAAATATTCGTTTATTTAACACAAAAACTCGTTCTATTTTGTTGTAGATCATTTAACCATTATGCTGCCTCAGAAGCCTGTCCGAAATCAGTTTCATGAGGTGCCTTCGTGCAAAAACGCTGCCTGCAAAGTCATTGCCTCATACGGCAGCGAGGCAGCAAGTCAACTGCCTAAGTTTTTGGATGCAGCCCACGTGTTCAGTTCATTTAAGCCTCTGTCCAGTAGCATAATGGCGCATTTTCGATCTGCTTTTGATAAGTGGTTCCGGATTAGAAATATGAGGCTGTTCTAGGGTTTTTGGAGCTCGTCTGTCACTAGTGAGGGCAAGACGAGCTCATGGCTCAGTCTTGGACGATTTTCCATGCCAAGGCGTGGTGCTCACCCAAATACAGTAGAAAACAGCCTTTTTTTGGCTAGAGTCCCTGATTTTTTTTTTTTGGTTACACCTCACAATTAATGAATCATTGTTTAGGTTAAGATTAAATTTAAGACCACAGAACAACAGTAGGATGGAAGTACACATCACTTTCTCACAAGTTTTTCATTTATTCTTTTTTTTTTTTTTTACTTTCTCCATGAAATGCCTTTCATTGTTTGAGTGTCAGAAGTTAGTATTGCATGAGTCCTATATTACAAGTATTCAAAAGAACCACTAGCAAAAAAGTACCATGGGCATGTGCTTGGGGCTTGTGGCATATTGTTCTTTGAAAAGTACCATGTAAATACCCAAATGACTAAAACAGGCTAATGATTTGAAACTGATTTTCTTTGCCTTTCTTTTGCATTCAAAAGATTGAATGTATTATATTAGATAATACTTTATTAGCCTTCATCAAGAAGTCATTAAGAAAAACACACACACACAAATTATATATATATATATATATATATATATATAAACAGATCAGTAATGATGTACATGAAAATGTGAATTAAAGATTTATGACAAACTCTTAATCTGTGAAGCACTATATACTTTAAATACTGTAATTTTTTTATTAATATAATGTGAGTTATTAGCCTGTTAAATGGCTGTATTAGACATTTGAGTATTGATATTGTGGTTAAGCTCTAATTTCAAGTTGTTGTGTTTTTCTTCTTCTTAAAATAGCATCACATCCTTGCACAATAGCTTACATGTAGCTTGTTAGTTTCCTCTCATGTTCTGAGGGAAGAGAAGCTCAGGTCAAGAACAGTTTGAGTGTGAATGTAAATGTTAACCGGATGTAATATCAGAGGCGTTTAGGCTGAGAAAACAGATGAAACATGACACTAAAATGAAGAGTGTCGGTGAGGTTGTGTGGCTGATTGCTGCACACTAGATAGTACCGTTTCTTTTCCGAGAATAGATGTTTTTTTGTGATAATAGAAATCAGTCTAGTATAAGTAGATGGGGTTTCTCTTGTCACTGGCGACACTGGATGCATTTATAGAGGGTTGGATCTGCTTATGGAATCATATTGGCCTGTAAAATGAGTCAGAACCTTTTTTCGGCCGTTATTGTAGACTCCTACAAGTCCAAGAGTTTCTTTCTGAAAATGACTCAAGGTTTCTGTGTTTATATCACTTCCTGTTTAAGCGTTTCCTGTTCGGGGCCAGCTAGGCTTGACGCTGCTGCGCAGTACCTTATTTGGAGTTTCACAGAACTGCGGCGTCTGCACACATACGCTCTCACACACACAGCTTTGTGTAGTGAGTATGGGCCCCTTTTCATCTGCAGATTTCTGTTGCCCAAAATGCAGCTGTGTATGACAGCTAATGTACTAAAATGGCCTCTTTTATAACAAACACACTCCTCTCTCTCTTTTCCTTCATGCACATGCACTCACACATATGCATTTATCTCCAGTCATCAGTTTCTCAGTGTACTGAGAGGGAGTTTTGTGACCTCTGTAGGTTCATGTCAGAGGGGAGTGTGCAGGCGAGAAGTGAGGTACTGATAAAGGTCAACTTAACACTATAACCCTTGTGCAAAATTTTATTAACAGTTTTGTGTGAGTTTATATCTGTTAGTAAGATATGTAAGATATAGTAATATCTTACATAGTAAGATATTACATAGTATCTTACTGATATAGTAAGATGTCTCTTAGTAAGTTTGGGGTTGGTACAATTTTCAGCGTTTTTGAAAGAAGCCACTTATGCTGAGTAAGGCTGCATTTAGGCCTATTTAATCAAATATACAGTATAAACAGTAATATTTTGAAATATCATTACAACTTAAAATAACTTTCTATTCTAAATTTCTATTTCAGTACTTTTCATAATTTAAAATATAGTAAAATATAGGGCTGCACGATAAATCGCAGCTCGTCAGTGAACAACGGCTCTATGTAGTTAATGCTGCTCAATGTGAAAGCACGCACGTGATGGAGATTTACCGCTGATTACAGAACCGGCTTTCTGACAAGATGCGCATTAAATATGGCATGCGATTTATCGTGCAGCCCTAGTAAAATATAATGTAATTGTGATTGCAAAGCAAAACAATTTTTCAGCAGCTGTTACTCTAGTCTTCAGTGTCACACAGTCCTTCAGAAATTATTGTAACATGCTGATTTGGTGCTTGAGAAACAAGTTGAAAACAGTTGTTCTGCTAAATATTTTTGTGGAAACTGAGACATTTTTTCAGGATTCTTTGATTAATAGGAAGCTTCAAAAACAGCATTTATATGAAAACGTTTGTAACACTGTAAATGTTACTGTCACTTTTGATCAATTTAATGCATCTTTGCTGAATAAAAGTGTTAGTTTCCTTCAAGACAAAAATTCTTACCGACCCCAAACCGTTGAATGGTAGTGTATTCGCAATTTTTTCTTTTTGTTTTGGATTGTCTAGAAAATACCTCTCTTTGAAACCCCATATTTAAAGTTCAGGTTTAATTCTGTCAACAAAAGTACACAGATATGATTGAGTGCACACTAAAAAGGAGTGTAATGTCCAGACCATAAGTCCTGTAACTGATTTAAAGGGGTCCTATTATGCTTTTACTTTTAGCAAATGTAGCACTGCCAGTTGTCGTTGGAGATTCCTAGTCCTCCTTTCCGTTCTTTCAATCGCTTTACGTATACGTCGACATTCCATGTCCATTATTGTGAAACCCGCGAGACACAACAAAAACACAGCTCCGATCACAGCGTCCTCCATCCTTCTGTTGTTAACGTTGTTCTTCTTTGTTTCCGTTGTTA